GGGGGGGTCCTTGCACGAGACTTACATTCGCAATTTTCGTGATTTTTAAGGAAATTCACGGGATAACGTCGTTCGCAAAAAGTTAAAAAGGACGCTTTTTTGCTTTTGATCACATGACTTTGGGTGACTCAAAACGTTGGCGAAAACAAACAAACAACCAAAATGGGCTAAACGCGCGGGAAAAGAAAGAAAAATAATAAACCCGGTGTTCAGTAGAGTCGCTACCTTATTGCGCAGACACAGTGGCCGCAGCTGCAGCGATGCACTTTAAAGTTACTCGCCGCGTCTGTTCCGACTTCTTTTCTAGCGAACACAGTAGCTGCGTCTTTCGGTTCAGTCGGTTCATTCGGCCACATGTCAGTCAATGAGGATGGCTAAGGAGGTTCTTCAATTTTTGATGCTTTCATGGCTCCATAACAGGAGACGATCCCGTCGTACATATTGGGTACATAGAATCAATAAAAAGAGAGACACATATTGGTGAATGCCATCACCTGATGGCAGAAATCCTTTCAGACGAAGAAAAATGCCTGAAATATTTCCGGATGGGACCCTCCACATTTCAGCTCTTGTTGGACAAAATTGGAACCTACATAGAGAAGAAAACTACCAATTTTCCGGAAACCCCTGTCAGCAAAAGAGCGTTTGAATTTGGAAAAAGACTGCTGGCTGACGAGCTGGATTTACCACAGGATACAGACAGTGACACAACCCTCCCATCTGCATTCGTAGCAGATGATGTATTTCCATGGAGAGGAAATTTGTTGAAGCCATTTCCAAACAGGCAATTAACTCATGAGAAAGAGCTTTTCAATTATCGCCTATCACGTGCGAGGAATTCAGTTGAATGCTCTTTTGGTAGGATTCCCCGAATGGGGCGTATACTCCTGCACCAAAAGGATGAACAGCCAGAGTCGGCAACAAATGCAGTCAAGGCCATCACAGTGCTCCACAATTCCATTATCATGCAAGAACCTGGAAGATCGGTGCTACGGCACATTGAGGATGACGTGGTTGAGCCACGAGCAGGCCTACCAACGTTCGACCGACCAGAAGTTATACGGAGCAGAGCTACCAAAAGTGGAAT